TGCGAGTGGGGTGCCTGGGGCGAGCCCGAGGGAGGGGCGGAGAGGAGGTCCGAGTGAGGGGCTGGGAGCGAGCCCGAGTCAGGGGCGGAGAGGAGGTCCGAGTGAGGGGCCTGGAGCGAGCCCGAGGGAGGGGCTGAGAGAAGGCCCGAGTGAGGGGCCGAGAACCGATCAGAGCGGACATTTCAAAAAATGGTCAAAATAAGTAGTAAAGACTGCAAGAATGACTTGAAAGGAAAAAATATAAAACAAAAACACTTGTAAAGCTTTTTGGTTTTGTCAAGAATTGCTTTGACTGCTTTTTTGTTGCTCAGAAACTTGTTCTAAAACAATAATGTGCTGCAGCGCATCTGTTTTGTAATAGATGCAGAAGGATGTTACCTATACATGTCTGCAGACTATGAGCAGAAGTGAACAACAAGCACAAATAGGGACAAGATACATGTCAGAGAATTTAAAGTCTACTGTGTATTGTGTCTGACAGGGTGATGTATGATGGAGTAACACAGAAAACATCCGGAAGAATCTAACCATAGAAAGAATGATAGTAGAAGGCTGTGATATATTGCTAGATACCAGCCAAACTTTTATACGCCAAGGTAAGACCTTCTTCTTTAAAGCTATCTATGTAAGAATGCAAAATTACCTTAAAAACAGCGGGGTTCATGTTGACATCATTAGGAAGATTATACCACTGGGCACAGCGAACATCTGAAGGCTCTTTTTCCACGTAAGGTAAGTCATAAAATATCTCAGATGACAACTAGTTTGGGGCTATAGTTGAGCCACACTTCTGTGCTGGTTTTGTGTCAGGAGCCATGAGAAACAGCAACACAGTAATAGTAAAGTATCTGTGGGACAGTAATGTACATATTGACTGGACTGCCATCATCAACAGAACAGAAATTATCTGTAGCTCCACAGAAAATGGGACTACCTTCCCAGTTAACACTGCAATCAGAGTTCATGCCAACATTTGGGCAAAAGCTTAGGAGAAGCTTGAAGCTTCGTCAAGTCATAGTGATTGCAAGAAAACAGATGTCAGTTGTTCCCCTTTTTCTCTGTGCTTTTGGGAAGTCTCAAAATGGTGGTGCTGGAATAGCTATAATATGCTGTGTTTTGAATCTCTGAGCATGTTCACTGTTTCTCTTGGGGGGGGGGGGGCATTTTTTGTGCTTCAGCAGAAGTTAGGATAGATAAAAAAAGCACTCCAGCAAAAAGTCATGAAGAAAAGGCACCTTGTTCTGCCAGAAATGTGGGACCATTTGTAATATCATACAGGTAGCAAAAAGAGAGAGAGGCATACTTCTCTTCTTGTTTTTGGAAGCATGTTCTTACTGATGTTTATGTACAGTGGAAAAGGAATTTGTTGTTAAATTCTGCAAAATTACAACAAAATCACTATCCATTGAAAATGAACATCACCTTTACCAAGTAAATGTAGTTTCAGTTTTCAGCACTAAGCTAGTGGTAAAACAACCTTACCTTAACAGTAAAACATCAAAACTTGGGAATACATGGTAACAGAGGCTTATTTTTCCTACATTTAGGTAAGAATTTGCCTCTGTATCTTTTGTAACGAGCTAGTGGGTTTGTATGAAGTACCTACAGATATGTAGCAAGATTTTTCTAACTGAAAAATGTTAGATGTATTTAGAGAAGGTTGGGAATGTAATTTAGGTGCCTCCATTTACGAGGCCTGTTGTAGACTAAGTAGGATAATGTCTGCAGAACACGCTATTTGAATACAGCCATATGCAAAGTGGATCGTTAATAGGTTTTATATTCGTTTTGAAATCTGTTCCTTGATGATTTTTCAATCATTTGGCCACAACTGTGAAGTGTTCCATAATAACTTCCAAGACGGTTATACAACAGTCACTTTTAAATTAATTGATTCTTTGCTAAATTGTTTGTTATAATTGAGGTATGTGAAAAGATATGAAGGTCGCTTCCAGAAAACTATGAAGCTGTTGTGTAATTGTCCTCAACTTGTACCATGCAATTTAACAACGCAGGAGGCATTTTTTTCAATATGATTCTAATATTTTGGATTTATATATTTGTTGTTTTATTTTTCTTAAAATTGGGCCATTATAATTCTTATATTTGAATGAAGGCTAATGGAATGATTATTCTGGCAGTACTAAACTACTGAAAGTACTTAGGTTTGCAGCTGGATAAAAATTCCTGAGATTACACTGACTTTAAAAGCCATGCTATTAATGAATGTTCTAAAATTAGCCTCACTTGCTTGTTACATCTGTAAATTGGGCAGTCATACCAGCCATACTCATATTTTTCCCTTAAGAGGAAACTTGGAGTAGAATTTATGGCAGTTAATTGCTTGGTTTCATTAATCACAAAAGCTTGACAGGAATATACAACAACCTCCTTGCTAGATGAAGCACTTACAGGAGATCTGTTTCTCTCTGTAAATAGTAGGCCCTTCAATATCAGAGAGACATCACACCAGCTCTTTTTTCCACACTTAAAAACTGTAGGTGTTTTTTTTTTTTTTTTTTTGGTTTGCCTTATTAAAGAGGCAGCTCTTTGCAAGTGTAACCCAATATGGTATTCCTGAAAGCACCCTAATAAAAACAGGAAGAAAAAAAAAAGTAGAAGTACAAGCAGAGTCCTTTTACCTTAATTGTGCAGAAGAGTTTCAGGAGATAAGATGATGTTAAGAATTCTGGAATGGGAAGTTTGCTGAAGAATTTATTTTAATATACTGCTTGGCTTTGCACTGGGAGCTATCAATGTCACATAGTAAAATCAGTTTCAACATGTGGAGATGATCTTTTGTGATCGTTCACAGTTGAAGCAAGTAGTCTGTTTTCTCCAGGGGAAATGTACAGCAACCAATAACTGTCTTTTCTTTTTCTGGTTAGAATGTCAAGAATGTTCCCCATGTACCAATTTCTGCAGTAGAGCTATTCTATTCTCTGCTATTCTGATGCAGACAAAAATTATATCATACATATTTAGCTTGGATACATTTAGCTTGAATGTAAATGGCTGTTCAAGAACACTAGACTGTTGTAATTCTCTTTTACCAATGTGTATTTTGCTATGCTGGACAGAGTAAGCTTTATATATGTAATATATGTGTGTGTTCAAGGAAGGTAAGTAAGGAGAAAAATATTATCTCAGTCTCTTAACTTTGTGCTACTTAGTTTAATAATGTGTGTGTGAACTTTTATCTAGAGTGTTTTTTTGTCAGCATAGGGTGAGAATTGGTAAGCTAATAATTAACTACATGAAAAATTCTTTCAGGCTTGCACTATTTCACGAAGTCACTGATATGACTGAGAGTCCAATATCTTGCTGTCTCCTAAAGGGGCAGGCCAGTTTCCCTATCCTCACACTTGTTCTGCATTGCCATTACTTTGCACCATCACTGGTGCTATATGACCGCGCACTGAGCCATATCAGGGAGGTCAGCCACCTACTTTTCTGTAGTGTTTGTTTAGTTCTATTAACTAGCTTAACTAGCAAATGTTGTAGTCAGATGAAAGCCAATGTAAGGGAGAGAGCAAAGATAGAATCATAGAATCATAGAATCATAGAATCATAGAATGCTTAGGGTTGGAAGGGACCTCTAGAGATCATCTAGTCCAACCCCCCTGCATACGCAGGGACACCTAGAGCACGTGGCACAGGACTGCATCCAAGCGGGTTTTGAAGATCTCCAGAGAAGGAGACTCCACAACCTCTCTGGGCAGCCTGTTCCAGTGCTCTGTCACCCTCACTGTTAAGATGGATCTTTGCTCTTGTGACTGGATCCAAAATTAGAAGTGGTGTTCCTGGTGGTATCAACATGCAAAAGTTGGTCAGAGGTTGGTTTGGAGAAATAAAACTGCATAGCTTTCCCCAGTCTGAAATTCTGTGGAGGACAAATTCAGAGTTACGTAACCAGGTTTGGTTTAGTTCAGAAGCGTTCTGCTGGTAACATGTTTTAGATGAATTGTAGAGCACTGAAAAGTATATATGGCAAGAAGAGGGAACCTGCTTTGTTTGCAGTGCTCTCACACAGACACACATACAGAACCCCTTTTCCTGCAAAACCTGTTGTTTTCATCTTCTGTCTTTCTCGCTTGAATGTCAGGTACTTTTTTTCAAATCCAGAAGCTATTTAAACTGATGCAAGGGGAGTTTGATGCTTTGTTTCCATTTCTGACCAGTGTGTTAATGGTATACTTAAATTGCATATGAATTTGCCCAAGATCTAGTCCTGGCTTGTGCACAAGTATTTGTCTAGACTGTGCTTGCCTGTCCAATCTAAGTCTGTTGTTGTAAGGTCAGATTTATTAGTTCCATTACAAGTACAAATCTGTTGTCCCAAATTTGACCTAAAAATAAATAAATAAAAGAGAGAGAGAGGAGGACTTGTGCTTAAAAGAGAAGCTGATGTAAGTTGATAACTACTAGAATGAAGAGTTGCATGAATTAAAGTCATGGTTTCAATGTAAGCACTGCCTACTGACTGTTTTTATACTTACAGTGTATTTTTCATCTTTTATTATTATCAGGTTCCCTTATTCAAGTCCCCTCGGTTGAGAGGGGAAAACTTAGTAAAGTTCGCCTGGGATCACTCTCTTTGAAAAAAGAAGGAGAAAGGCAGTGCTTTTTATTTACAAAACACTTCTTAATTTGTACTAGAAGTTCGGGAGGAAAACTGCATCTGCTGAAGGTACAGATTTTACACTATGACTCTGTTTACAAAATAAAAATAAAAATAAATCAACCCAGCAAATAATTTATTGGTAAATTATGAGAAATTTCAATATTTTATTATTTTATGTTTTTAACCTGAGATTTTCATGTCTTCCTATAAACAGAAGTGAGATGATGCATGGTAATTAACTGCTGTATTTTCTTGTTATGTGAGGAACCAAAAAGAGAATTCAGCCAAAATTATTTCTAACTAAATGTTTTGCTCTTTTGGAGGAGGGGTAAAACTGGAGTTATAAGATTTTGGGGGGTTAGAAACACAACATTAGCATCTGTAGCTGTTTATGAGCTAGCACTGAATGCATGTGAGCTTTCAGTGCATAAGTCAGCCAGTCCAACTCAATGCAGTTACCAGGGGATATTTTACAGATAAGTAAGAAACCTCATTAAAAAAAGCAGTTCTGTTTTCCTAAACAGCATATTCTTTTACACTGAAACTTCTTATAAGAAAATTCTATAAACTATATTAGGTGAGAGTGTATTAGGGAGTCTCTTTCAGGACAGCTTATATGCTTTTTCACTTTGTACCTTTTAAATAGCTTAAATATTTCACAAAGTAAACTAAATGCAACTAAGCCTTTACAAAGATCTTGTATTAATTTGTTTTACATTTAGGAGAAGATGCTAAAATTTAGTTACTGAAACTTGTGAACAAGTCTGTATATGTGAGATAAACTGTATTGTGGTAAAACTGAAATAAATTTTGCATGTGTAAATACATTATTGAATTGTTTTGCTAAGATAAGTGCTACAATATATCAAATAATATATCTTGGTTTTTATTTATTGAGGGAAAATGGGCATTGTAAAATTGATATATCTTCCTAAAAGCTTAGAAATGTAAAATCTCTGACAAAATATATCAAAATTTAAAAACAACTGTAGTGAGAACTAGAAAATATGTCTAAATTTTTTGAAAAAATGTGCTTTATTTTCATAGACAGGAGGTGTTCTGTCTTTAATAGAGTGCATGCTGATTGAGGAGACAGAAGCAAGTGATGATGATTGTAAGTTACATTAAGCCATTACAGTTCTAAGTAGTTTCTTAAAATTGCTACCTTTAAATAGTCTTTATATAGTTGTGTACTCTTTCATGAAACCAGAGAAATACAGTGTTTAAAAACTCATTCAGTAGTAAAGGTGTGTGTCCTGGCTTGGATAAAGGTTTGTTTTGTTATTTTTGCTCTTGATGTTGACATCCCACATAAGATATTTAAGTATGTTGGCTGAAGCAAAGTAGCAAATTATTTTCTGACTTCTACATATAAATTCACCATAAGGATCTTAGAAAGAAAATAATGGATATGTCTTGAAAGAAGAAACAGATAATTTGATTTCTTAACTACATGGAGATTGAGAGACTTGGTGGAATTAGAATTTTTTTTTCCTTGGACTCCCTACAATCCTTGACTGCAACCTTATTCCAATGAAATAACAAAATACATTCCCAAGATGATCTTATTGTTTATTCATTTTGGCTCCCAACCCACAGTTTTAGGCATGAATTGCATTTGAACTGTGAAAGTAGTTCCATTAAGTTCAGTGATGCTTCTTATGTGCTGTGAAAATATCAGCAGTGTGCATAGAAGTTTTCAAAGGACTTAAGTCTTACTTGGCATCAATTTCTCCTGACCCCCAGAATTGTACGTTCTATTACTTCATTTTACTTTTGGTGCATGTGAAATATTGAATGCCGCTTTTGTATCCCTATTTGGATTTTTAAACATCAAATAGATGTTTAAAGTAATTTCTATTGTAAATGAAATCATTTTCTCTGACCTGTAATTTGAAATCTCACATTTTCACTTTTTTTCATTTTACTGTCTCTGACCACAAAGAAAAAGGTTCTGGGCAGGTGTTTGGACATCTTGAGTTCAAGCTTGTAGTTGAACCTACAGATGCTCCTCCATTTACTGTTGTCCTTTTAGCCCCTTCACGACAGGAGAAAGCCGCATGGACAAGTGATATAAGCCAGGTAGCCTACTCTGTTCTTTATCTTATTTGTTACAAGATCTTATTTTATTCTGAGTTTCAGAAAACTAATCCAAGACAGGCTTGTCAGTTCTTTTTTGGAGGGCTAATTTGCTGGGATGTGTATCAAAAAACATTACATGAAAAACTTTGAATCTGATTCGTCAGTGAAATATGTTTTTCAATAAAAAAGGTGGGATATAAAACACAGACTAGTCAGTTGACTGGCATTAGTATTAATTGTTAATTATTAGCATTTTGCCAGTCATTTTTATGTCTACAAAAAGCTCATCTAGATATGTATTTTGGTTCAGGAAGGTTAATGCTTATTCATTTGTAACTTTCAAACAGAAATGGATCAAATTTCAATCAAAATGGATTTGCATGTTTTGATTCTGCATGCAGCAGTAATGAATACATAGATCTGTCACAGTGTTGAATTTGAATCCTGTGCTCTGTTAATTTTAAGAGAAGGAAATGATCAGACAAATATCAGCCTGGTTTTTGATTGTTTTTTTTTTTTTTTTTTTTTGTCTGTGTGCTAACACTGATGGCAACATCTCTGGATGCATTATTGTGGTAATGAATAGAAACTGCTTAAAACTAGATATTCTGAGTTGTTTTCTTCTGGTCTAATAGTTTTAAAGGAAAAAAAAGATGGAGATAAAATTTTCAAAATCTAAATCTAGTACAGGTTGAGAGCCTCAGTCTCACTGTAACTCACTAGATACAGATCTTACAGGCAGATGTGGTTTGAACATTTTTAGCTATATGAAATTTCAGTGAATTATGTTGTTCCATTGATACTTAAGGTGTTAGAATGATTTGCTGAGGAATAAAGACCCTTTAAAAGTGACCCTTTTAAAAAGTTAAAAAACAAGCAAGTTATTTTATTGTTAAATTCCTTTTAAATTTGTATGAGAATTTTGAAAAATCTTTTTTATTGTCATAAAGAAGTAGCATAATACATATGTAAAATTAGGTGAATAAATTAGAAAGCATTATAGAGAAAAGAGTTTTGTACTTTTTTGGGTCTGGGACTTGTTGCAGGCCTTATAAGCTGACTCCACTGGCAGTCTGCTGGCATTCAAGAGCAAGGCCTCTTGCGCTGTGATATCTCTATTTGCTCAATATTAAGACATTACAGTCTCTCACTCACTTTGTCTATAAGTTACTCTAACTCTTGCAGTATGACTATTTGTTTTCCAAGCTGAA